GGAAACTACGGAAGCCTACACTGAGCGTGACCCGACACGCTCTTGGCCGCTTTTTTTCCATTCCATCCATTGTAGTAGTTGCATCGCTGTGATATTGGGTTGTTTTCTGGCGGTCATTTGGAAAAATTGATCATGTCTCTTCTGCGTAATAATACGATATCCGTGTGCCGTTCAGCCTCCAGTACTGCGATAACGTGATCACAACCTTGATATCACGTTATGCAGCATCAACGTTGTGTGCAGTTTTTGAAGAGAATTCTCTCATCAACACCACATAATTGATTTTTAGAGCAATGTATAGCTTTTGAGTTATCCTCATACGTCATCTGCACCTCGTCATCGGTGTATGTAAAGGTTGGTGCAACCTGTGCACTAACCTTTACATACACCAATGATGACTATTAATTTTTCCTCACCTCTTTATCTGAAAGATTCCAGTTCAATAGTAACACTCATACTCTCAACCTCTGTTCTTCACACAATTTATTTTCACAAATTCGTTTCACAATTTAGCCGATTGTAATCTGGTTGTTTCAGTGAAAAGGCTTTTTCTATGCTTAGACAGTGCGATTTACCCATCTAGGGTTTCACCACTACATACCACCAGGTGAGATGTAGTCGAACGCCGACTGATTATAAGTTAAAACAAGTGATCCGATGGTGATGTGAATCATAAGTTATTGTGCTGCTAGTGTCTTGAGATACTATCATATTCAACTGTCTGCTGACTAAGCCGCTGTCATAATATTCTTAAAACTTTTTGCGTCGGATCAATATATTGTGAAGATGTTTTTAAATATTATTATAAAATTTCAAATTATTGAGTTGTCTCGAAAGTGGTCCCGAGACATTGTGATAGCACTGCGAGGGTGCTGGGGGCAGAAAGGGCTGCCCTGGGACGTGCTTTAATAATAATAAAGCAATGTGAGAGAGGGGCTCCGGTTGCTTTCCGAACGGAAATCCCGGGACCCCTTATATACGTTGATGGTGACCATCGTAGGGTTTTAGCCGGTAGGAGTCGAGCATTAACTTTTGCGTTGCCTCCACATCGGAAGATATTCATGAAGATTTCTTCACAATAAAAAAAGGACTACGATGGCTATCCGAGTATACAACCAGAGTACGAAACCCATCCAACTGCAGAAAGGTGTAAGACAGGGTGACGTTATATCCCCGAAACTTTTCACCGCTGCATTGAAAGACGTGTTCAAGCTACTTAACTGGAAAGGATACAGTATTAACATCACTCGCCTTCGCCTTCAAAAAAAAACATGGACAAAACAAAAATCTTGTGTATGTACATGTCACGTGGATGTTTATCCTTGTTCAATTTCTTTTTGTAAACTGCCTCCACGATACAGGAGAAAATCCCAGTGTGGAGGTAACGTTTTTTAATTATAAAAAAGGAACTATGCCCGTTGTTCAGCTCTGAACATTTCAACGCAGCGACACTGACCTCGTTACCAAAAATCACGTCATTAGTTTTGGTAAATAATCTTAGAAATGACGTAAATATTAACCTCAATTAAAACATATAAATTGTAATGATTTGTTAATAAAATCCCTCTTAACGCTGGACGACGTCTTCGTTATAACCGCCGACAATCGTAGTAAGACCTGCTCACTGTCACTGCGGCCAAGACACCTTTAGCCATCGGAAGCTCTGATCCGTCTTGTGAGTCAGCTTGACTGGCAGTGAGAGAACCCCATCACCTAACCCTGACATCCTGTCTCCGTCCGTATGTTACCTGAGGTCTCATGATGCAGACATCCCATACTTATCTAAATTATGTAAGTATATATATTTATATGGCAGGGCTAGGGTATTAGGGACTTCTAGGTATAGGGAATTTATTTAGGGTCTCTAGGGTATAATACCACTTACTACTATATTCATTTGCAGTAGGTAGTCGAGCTATTGAAGGGTAACTAAGTTAATATTTAAATAAAGTTACCTGACTGTACACCGGGAGTTTTAGGCAGCACTAAGCGCGAAGTGGTTGAGTATGTTTATCTGGGACAAATAGTCTCGACTAGGCAAGTCCAACTTCGACCGAGAGATCAATCGACGGATTCAATTCGGCTGGGCAGCGTTCGGGAAATTACGATAAATCTTCTTGTCAGGTATACCTCAAAACTTAAAAACGAGATTGTACTACCAGTGTGTTGATGACTTATGGATCTGAGACGAGGTTCTTCACTGCGGGCCGTATGAAGAAGCGCAAGTTCGTTCAGAGCTATGGAGGTTATGCTCGGGGTTTCTCTGCGTGATAAACTTAGAAATGAAGATATCCGCAGTAGAACCAGAGTGACAGTAGCCCAACGGATTAGTAAGCTTAAGAGGCCATGGACCGGTCATATAGATCAGAGAGTCAAGAGCGTTTTGAATTTATGCTAAGACATATCATAATTAAGTAGAGAATCTTGTTAAAAATAGTTGTACATTTACCCAAATATGAGGCTTCCTTCCTGTTCGTCCTTTGGAACAGGAAGTTAATATTTTTTGCACGTGTTAAAATTATGTGCATCACTCATTCCTTTAGAGCAGTTAAAATATTTCCTTACTTAATTAATATTGTCCAAAATTAATTATAATTCAATGGTTGAAATGTTTACAATATTTTTTAATTCTCTTGAGGGAGTCCCTTGGTTCAATATTATTGTAAATAACTCGTACAGCTCTTTTCCGTAGTGTCATCATCATCATCATTACAGCCCTTCACAAGTCCACTGCTGAACATAGGCCTCCCCCAAGTAATGCCACAAAGCACGGTCCTGAGCCACCTGCATCCATCGACTTCCTGCATGTCTTACAAGGTCGTCACTCCATCTAGTGGGGGGTCGCCCTACACTATGCCTACCGATACGAGGCTGCCACTCGAGAACCTTTTTTCGCCATCGTTTATCGGTTCTGCGAGCTATATGGCCGGCCATTATTGCCACTTCAGCTTACTAATCCGTTGGGCTAAGTCGGTCACTCTGGTTTTACTGCGGATATTCTCATTTCTGAGTCTATCACGCAGAGAAACTCCGAGCATAGCCCTCTCCATAGCTCGCTGAGTGACCTTGAGCGTCCTCATACGGACAGGAGTGAAGGACCATGTCTCTGATCCGTAAGTCATCACTGGCAACACGCACTGGTTGTACACTTTAGTAGTTGTTTTCAGAGATTGAGGTATACCTGACGAGAAGATGTGTCGTAATTTCCCGAACGCTGCCCAGCCGAGTTGAATCCGTCGATTGACCTCTCGGTCGAAGTTGGACTTACCTAGTCGGACTATTTGTCCCAGGTAAACGTACTCGTCAACAATTTCGGGCATAGTGCTCCCAACAACTACCGGCATAGGTGTGACATGGGACATTAAACATGATCTTCGTTTTGTCCATGTTCATCTTAAGACCTATCCGTTGGGAGACACCATTGAGGTCATTGAGCATAGTGCTAAGGTCCTCCAGCGATTCTGCCATAAGCACTATATCGTCGGCAAATCGAAGGTGAGTGATGTACTCGCCATTGATGTTAATACCGTATCCTTTCCAGTCCAGTAGCTTGAAAACGTCTTCCAACGCAGCGGTGAAGAGTTTCGGGGATATAACGTCACCCTGTCTTACACCTCTCTGCAGTTGGATAGGTTTCGAACTCTGGTTCTGTACTCGGATAGCCATCGTAGCCCTACTGTATAAACACTTCAGCACTTCGATATACCGACAGTCAACTTGGCACCGCTGAAGGGACTGTAGCACCGCCCAAATTTCGACGGAATCAAAGGCTTTCTCATAGTCCACATACGCCAGGTAAAGTGGCAGATTGTACTCTTCGGTCTTCTGTACAATCTGCCGCAGGGTATGTATGTCGTCTATGGTACTGAAGCCTTTTCGGAAACCGGCTTGTACGGGAGGCTGGAAGTCGTCGAGTCTGCGTGCGAGACGATTCGTAATGACTTTCGAAAACAGCACGTAGGCGCGGCTCAGAAGGGAAATCGGTCTGTAGTTCTTCAAGAGAGCGTTGTCGCCTTTCTTTAAGAACAAGACCACCGCACTTCTGCTCCACGCCTCCGGAGTGGTGCCACCATGGAGGACGAAATTGAAGAGCTTCTGAAGCTTCCGTAGTGTATATGTTTTCAATATCAGGTGGCTGACCCCTAGAATAATAATCCATAGGACATAACAATGTGGCGCAAATAAACCAATCTTGCTGCATCCACATCTGTGAACAGCCTTCTTTTTTACTGCATACTCACAGCAGAACTAAGTTTTCTTGAGAGTCGAGGGTGTAATGGTAATACCAAGAAAGTGTGGAATCCACTAATTTAAGTATTTTATCGTCCAACTTTATAAAAGTAGTTTTACCCCGCATTACATTTAGCCAAGAAAATTTCATGCATTTCATTTCGTAAAAAAAGAACTTACTTTTTTTTAATTATAAAATATAATTTGACTATTTTATTTTATTTGACATTGCTTTATTAAACAAAGTATGTAGCAAAACATTTTTAAGTAACAAGTAACACTGACAAACTCGGTCCGAAATTTCAAAATGATAAACTCTGTCAGTAAAATACAGAAAATGCACAAGAGCACATGATTGTGCATGCAAAATAATGTTCTGCTAAAACGGATTCTCAGGTTGGCTCGAAGCAAACTTGGACAGCATATTTTTAGCTTTTTAAATTAACTTCATTTATACACGCTACAGCTTATCAACAGTTGAATATAGGCCTCCCCTAAATTGTCTCAAAGGTGCCACCACTACACGGCTTCTCAAAGACAGTTGACAATATTTTAGACTATTGAATTGTGGTTCAGAATTTCAGCCAATATAAATGTAACACAAAAATTTGTGAACTCCATGGTCTTGATCATTTTCTAAAACCTCATTAAAAATATACTCTTAATGTAATGATATTTTTTTAATAAAATTATAACAACAATAATATAGCTGTATAGTATTACAAAATTAATTGCATAGGATTAGGCGGACCTACAAGATCTTTGAGATATTATCTGTTCTCTGTGTCAGGCAAATCACTTGCAGCTTCTTCTTGGGTCCGCAATGTAATATTGCTGAAATTGTGTCAAAATATTAATTAAAAAATTCTTTAATTAAAAAAATATGAATATAATATGATCAGTTTAAATATATTTCATGTTATTTGTTTCAATCATTCTGTACATCCCTATCAAGTCTGCTACTGAACACAGGCCAGGGCATCATGAGGCACTCTACGTTGGACTGTGGAGTGCCTCATGATGCCCATGTGTATTTTGTATTGCCATAGTTGATATGCTTGACAGGCGCCTTGGTAACCACAGTTTTTTAATTATTTTGAGTTATTGTCAGAAAGATGCTGCTGCCCATCTCCTGACTTCGTTTCTCTCTATCGCCTCTTACGAAACCTGTTATGGGATTAATGATTCTCTTTCGCCGCCACCTCACGGCGATATGGAAGTGTATTATATTAAAGTACCTACATAGGTACATATGGTACGGTTCAACCGTACATTTCTGCCGGCGTTAACATTTTATGTGAAGCAATCGCTATATATTTACGAGAACTAACTCAATTATAAAAATTGAGTTAGTTCTCGTAACCACCGTAACCGCGACGATCGCGAGCTCATTAACATTTAACATTTTTTAACATATTTTAATCTATAATGATTTCTTAAATTTACGCGAACACTACACATTGAATAAAACTATTATTTACGGATTTTATCGCGTTTAATTACTTTAATTTATTTTTATTATTATCCCGACGTTTCGGGTGCTTATCTAAATGGTGAATCTCACTATCATCCTTCACAGTTAGTTACCGTGGGTAAATCTCTGTTTCAGAGAGCACGAGGGATCTGTGACAGAAAACATCTGGCCGCGGAGCTTCAGCACGTCAAGCAAGTATTGCAAGACAACAAGCTTCGGGTCCCGCGCCTACGTCACAGTGAACGAGTGAAGCCGGCCACAGTCGAACGCGCGCCTGCTCTACTACCATATGTCAGAGGAGTCACGGACAAGATTGGCTACATCTTGAAGCGAGCGTCCATTAAGACATACTACAAGCCGCTGAGAAAATTAGTCAATTTTTACCATCCAATGTAATATTCCTCTACAAGATGCAGGTGTGTACAAGCTAGATTGTGAATGTGGTATCTCTTACATAGGTCAAACAAAGAGATCTATAAAACCCCACGTGAAGGAACATATAGCTGATGTGAAGCACCGACGCTCCGGGAAGTCTGCAGTCTGCGAACATGTTCAAGATCGTCCCCACCATTACATTAGATTTGATAAACCACAAATTCTGGCAAAAGAACACCGATTCCTACCAAGGATGATACGCGAGGCTATTGAAATTAAAAAACATCCAAATTTCAATAGAGAAGATGGTTGGGTGCTACCATCTGCTTGGGATCCTATAATTAACAAAATCAAACCCAAACCCAAGCATACCACTGCAAGACTTCATGATACTATAAGCTCGTTTTGCGTAAATCGGACCAAAAATTAATATTAAAAAAACTGAAGGTAGCCGGACTAACTATGACATTGGGACCTCAAACATCTCAGTCCCCCCCGTGACCATGGTTGCTGTAAAGCACCCGAAACGTCGGGATAATAATAAAAATAAATTAAAGTAATTAAACGCGATAAAATCCGTAAATAATAGTTTTATTCAATATTTTAATCTTATGTTTTTTACTTCTATATTAAACTGTTTTTACATAAAATTTTAATTATTATTAAACATACGTGCAATACCCGAACACATATTATTATATTAATTTTTTTATTATACCTAGGCCTAAACATATAAGCTTATAATTTAACAAAAGTCATCTTTTCAATAAAAACTGAAGTGAAGATTGATACTGTAAAAATAAGACTATTAATAAAAAGCAAAAGCTGACCTCAAAAAACTAAACATATTAAATAAATTTTCATTATTTCATTTGATTTATTAGGTCTTTACATATGAAATCGCCGTTTTTTATGAAATAAGAACGTAATTTTTTCTATTTTTTTATTTCTATTAATCAAAGTAATCACCTACACAATCGACGCGTCTTTGCTAACGCAGTGGCAGTTTACTGATGCCCTTCTTAAAGAATTCAGCTGGACGGGAGGCAATACATTTAATTCTTCAGAGGCATTTTGTACTGCCTCTCGGGTACTGAGTTATTTTCCCGCCAAAAAGTTATCCAAATTCTGAAAAAAGTAGAAGTCTGTAGGCGCAAGGTCTGGTGAGTACCATCTATTGTACTACTACGGATAGCTTCCAACCCCAGCTCTTGTAACTTGGAGACAGTCTGTTGTTCAGTATGAGATCGTGCGTTGTCGTGCAGAAGCAGCGGGGACCAGCGATTGACCACAGCTGGTTGGAGGCGTGCGAGCTTCTACATCATTGTGTTCAGTTCTTCACAGTGCACATCTGCAGTAATGTTCATCCTGTTCGGTAAGAAGCTGTAATAAATCACACCGGTGCTAGACCACCAAACAGTGATCATCACTTTTCTAGGGGTAAGTTTTCGTTTAGGGCATTGTTTAGATGCTGTACCAGGGTCCAACCAACTTGAACTTGCTGAATGTTTGCGATTGTCAAACAGAATCTATTTTTAGTAGCAGGTAACAATGCGGTTCAAAGTTCCTTATTTTGTGTGCCTGTTAGGAACGTTTCGACGCGTACTTCGCGCTGGCGATCATTGAGTTCGTGCGGCACCCATTTGTCAAGCTTTTTTACCTTGCCAATTTGACGCGAATAAACCAATATTGTTTTGATGCTAACGTCGAAATCTGCTGCTGATTCAGCTGTAGATTGGGTGTTATCAGCTTCCACAATCGCCTATAATTCGTCGTTGTCGACCAAAAGTTTTGGGACAATTTTCAGGTTCATTTTTCAGGTTTTTTTTCAAGAATGGAAGCAGGCAACCTCCAAAACCCATGATGACGACAAAGATTCAAATGAAAACATAACGATAATTAATAAAATAATGACTAATAACAATGAAAAAATAATTTCTTATTTTTGAAGTAAAATTAATTTGAAATTAGAATTCTTAGGCAAACAAAAATTATTTTGATTTGAAATGGCCAGTATTGCAATAATAGGTAATGTCACAGGTAAAGCCTATCATTAAAAGCCCGACTCGAGTTCTTTGAAGTCTTCTATTTTGAAACTTTTTATTAAGGCCAGGTTATAGGATACGGTATTATACGATTTTGAAATCGTAAATCGCTCGGAAATTGATACTTCTTGATATTTCTTTGTATATGCTCGGTAAAATATATGCACACACATTAAATAATGAAATAAATTCTTAATTGAATGGATTTTTAAAATAACTTGTATATAATAATAATAATGTCTTTTTATTCTGAACTTCTCGGTTAAGTATGAATACTAGACATGTTCTTGTTAGTTATAACATGTCCCGAAGCTCATTTTGCCTCTTTGCATAGGCCTCCTCTAACATTTTCCACTGAGGCCTGTCACGCGCTACCCTTCTCAAATGATGTCCAGCTGTGAGTTTTAAGTCGTCTTCTCATCTTGTTTGTTACAAAACAAAACTGCTAACAAACTCTAAACCAGTAACTATAGAAATTGACAACTAACCACTCAAATGTGTGTCAGACTACATCTACTTAGGACAGATAATATCTCACAAAGATCAAACCACAAAGGAAATTAAGCGAAGAATAGGAAATGGATGGGAAAAATATTGGTTTTTGAAAGAAGTTTTGAAATCTAACAAGTTTATTAGCTTTCTTTAGTTAGTAGTTTTCTTAGTTTGTTAGCATTCTCTACTTTTCTTTCCATCTCTGGGATGCCAGTCAGTGGCAATTTTGCACACTTCTCTTGTGGATCGCGCATCATGTGACCTGTCCATCTCCACTTTTGTTGGTCTATTTGGGTTATTATATCGAAAACTTTGGTTTTTCCCCTTATTATGGGTCCCCTTAGTATGGTAACAATCGAGAACAATTTAGGCGGAAGAGGGTCTCCCTGTCTTACTCCCCTCTCGATCTTGAACTTTTCCCAAGGTTTCTATTTAGATCCTCGCGTCGCCGTTCGAGTAGACATAACATAACATAAACACTCACGCCTGTCACCCAGAGGGGTAGGCAGAGACTACAGACTTCCATTTGGCACAATCCTGACACACTTCTCTCGCCTCCTTCACATCCATACACCTACGCATACATGCTCGTCGGTTAAGGGTACTCCTAATTTGGCCCGTTTTCAATAAATCGCCAATTTGGTCGATAAATTTTCGCCTAGTACGTCCCTTTCCGACTCTGCCATTCACTTCTGCAACATAAATTTTCTTTGTCACTCTTTCCACATGACCAAACCACCGAAGCATTCCTTTCTTAATCCTGGTCACAACATCATCTTGCAAACCACACTCTTTTCTTATTACACAATTTCTTACCCTGTCGTTCAGATTCAGCCCTAACATACTCCTTAAGGACCGCATTTCTACTGCGTTGATTCTACTCTCGTGCTTCTTCTGCCACACCCAACTTAAGGTGTGAGGCAAAATATTTTATAGATTTCTTTGATGTTTCTATTCCTATGTTGCTGCTTACCATACGATGGTTTGTATTGAAAATGAATTTAATTAAGACCTATGTATCTGTGAAAGCTTTGGAATGTTTTTTTTTTCATGTAGTCAATTTCGTTTCTGCTGCTGCCATCGGGAGAAATCCATGTCCACTTGTTTTTTTTTTTTTGGTTATTTTTATGGAAACCGTTCAAGAGCGTTAGTTTTTGTTGCAGCAAGAATTCAAGTAGCAATTCACCATGGGAGCTTCTCCTTCCTCGACCAAAGTTCCCCAAGATATATTCCTCCTTGCATTGTTTTGCTCCGACTTGAGCATTGAAGTTGCCCATTATAATAAGATAGTTATTTGAATATCTTGTTAGCGTTTGTGATATTCTTTGTAGAAAAGTTTAATTTCTGCTTTTGTTGCTTGCTCTGTTGTTGCATAAATTTGTATGATTGACCATATCTTTTTATAACCCGGTATGTCGATGTTAAGAATGGCTATTCGATCAGAGATTCCAGTAAGCTCTTGTATGTGTTGTTTCAATAACTGTTTGATTATGAATCCCACTCCTCTCTGACTAGCTACTTCGCCTTTATGGAATAGTATGTAGTCAGTGCGTTCCTCAATCTCTTCTCCTAGATTTCTCATCCCACTAATTCCCAGGATGTCCCATTTTATGTCTTCAAGGTCTTCTTTTTCTAGTTCATTTAGGCTTCAGTGATAAGGGTTCAGGTATTTAAGGTTGCAATGTTGAGTATTATGTTTCTTCTTCTTGTTGTTAGATAGTGGTGGTCTATAACTCCCGCGGGGACCAGCAGTTTGGGAGACTTTTTGTTATTTGGTTTTGATTGTTAATTTTAGTTCTTATTGCTATTGTTTGTTTCCGATTTTTCGAGGCAGTTATTAGTTTTTTGAAGCATTTAGTTGTGGATCAGAACTTGCTCGGTTGGCATAGATCGCAATCATCGCAATAGATGATTGATGGATTCCTTCGTGTTTATAATACTACAGATAAAAGTAAGATTTTAGCCTACCTATATATTAGTAGACCTTAAATGACAGCAAAATCAAATAAGATTTCTGGACTTTTTACATACTGTTAAAACATTCTCAGTTCTACTTACATTAAATAACAAACAGGAAATTATTCAAGTATAGAGCCATGGTATAAGTAACAGACATTTAAATAATTACCTTAAACTATGGGACATTTCTGAGATAAGATCTTCTTCGGAAGCGTTAGAATTTGAGTCTTCAGATACTGGAATTTCTTGATTGTTTTCAGGATTTTCAGAATATTCTCTATGTAACTCTGCCTCTATCTCTTCTCGAGGATTATCGTTGCTTGTTTTAATTCCAGCAATACCTGAAAAAATATGTATTTATTTTAGTATTGTTTACAGTAAATAGTTTAAAAATCATAGTATCCAAGCACATCTCCCGAACATGTAACAGACAGCCAAGGAAAAGTCTCAGACCAAGACTCTTGATATTGCAATACACTACTTGCCCTATACTTTGCTCTTCCTACCCTTCGCAACTTAAGTTCAGGTGTGCCTTACCTGAGGAGGAAAGTTATCCTGTCCTGTATCTGAGACAAGAATACCATTGTATGTGTGGATTGAGTTCTTGCCAAATATACATAGATTAGAATCAGTTGTAGTAAGGCTCAAATTGTTAACCCCTTTCAATTGTTGTCTGCTTTAAGTTGTTAGATCAAGACAAGCAGATAATAATAAATAATAATAAATAAATAAATCATTTATTCTGGACCAAACCTTTTATACATTGTTCACACCCACCAAACTTCGTAACAGTTTGTCGGCGGGATTAGCGCTTGTCTTAATACATTTGGTTCAAATACGTAAGTATACACTAATGAAAATAAAAGTGTAAATAAAGCAAGTTTTAATTTTTTTTAAACCCGTATTAAACTATTATTAAGAACTACTTACTAAAATTTAGCCTATTATAAAAAAAAACTACTGCTATTAATAAGAATTACTAACATTTGGCCTATAGAAACTATTAATAATATTAGGATTTACTAACTTTTTCACATCTCTCAACAACTTCATTAAGGAAGACAGTTTTCAATTTATTTTTTAATGTTTGTTTACTTATTCTAGTATTATCCTCTCTCAGCCAATCAAGGTCATTAAAAAGTGTGGGGGTCAAATATTTGTTGGTTCTTTTCCCATAGTAATTTTTTACTGGTGGTCGCACAAGTTTACACTCTCTAACGCTTCTAGTATTATACCTATTTTGCACTTGTTCTTTAAATTGGTCGTTATAGAACTGTTCAAGAACCAGCAGGTACTTGACCTTCTCATGTACAGGAAGCATTTTACATGCTATAAAAAGTTTTTCATAATTGTCTTTAGATGTCTGTGCTTCCACTTATTCTTACTGTCACATACAGACAACCACATTAAATTATTACCCAAAACGTAATCAAATTTTAGAACTGCAATATTTAAAAAAAAATCAAACCTTTAGAAGGTAGAGTAGGCATATCTCTTCGAACCCGACGTCGTTTTGTTTGATCATTTTGACGCACTTGCAAGTTTTTTTCAAAATCTACACGATATAAGGCTCCAGCTAGAAGGAGTTTACAATCTTTTTCCCCTCTTACAAAAGCAGCTTCCAGATCGCAATTACTCCTTTCATCATATTTCCACCAGCCTGCGAATCAGAGGGAAAACTATAAGAAAATAAATATATTAACAGTAAATAAATAGTCCTATTGTAAAATATAAGTAAAATTATACCATTTCTTCCTTCATAATACCACTGATAATCATGATTTCTGCAATCTTTTGAATTTTTTTCAAGTATGTTGTCCAACAATACCGGATTATTTAAATAATCATGAGGTATCTCAGTACGACACATGGCACATTTCTTGTTTTGTATTGCAATGCCCTGTTAATTAATAAAAACAAATATGTACCCATTAAAAAATTATTAATAATAATCTTAGATTGTTATATGGTCACTTTGTAAACTTTATACATAGTAAGGCCATGCTGCAACTTATAAGCACAAATAGATTGTTTTGATGGGGTAGGACACTCTCTCCCTGCTATTTTAGAATATCAGCATGAGAAAGCATTTTTTACTGGTAACAATTTTAAACCCGAATTGTGTTTATTTTTAAGACTTATTTTACCACCAAAATAAATGCTAGAATCATGACATGACTTTTTTTGATGACATATGTAGGTAATTAACAGGTTAGTTGTCCAGTGTATCAAATACAGTACATGCTGCAGGGATTTGTTATGTATGTGTAACATAAACAGTACATGCACCCCTGTCTCTTTCTTTGAGCTCTTCATGGACTTCTGAATTAGTTTGCTCTATTTATTAGGACTTGTCAACAGAGCAACAGTAAATGAAAATAATGTAAAACCATTTAATTTTTTTCTGTGTGTAGTTAAAAACAGAAAATGTCTTTATTTATATGTGCAATGGAACATCAGAAAAACATTGGAGACAATAAGTTTCTTTTACATTCATTACAGTGCTTTGTCACTCTTGACTTTTGTTCTTGCAGTTTTTGGAAGACTTCCAATGTCAATAAGTTTTTCATAACACCCAATGCAACATCTTCATATAGATTTACCCCTAACATTGCCAATGGGTTCTAAAAATGTGAGTTCCTATTGGATACTAACATTGTACTAGAGGATGATGTAGGCAGGCTTTCGATTGGCATTTGTCTGAATATTTCTTTTTTTTTAAACTAGATGTTCACAAGCCAACAATATGTGCTAAGTTTACACGCTACTCCGACTTGACAAGTCTGTGTACCGAATATGTTACACAGTCAAAAGGTAAGAAAAACCAGTTATTTATGTAGGCTAACTATCCAAAATTAGTCATTATGAATCAATTTGATTAAGAATATTAGAAAATTGATATGGACATCTAGGGTTATGGAAAAATTCTGTATGGAGATAGTTAACACATTAAAAAGTACCTAGATCGTATGTAAAGTATATATTATTACAATGCTAAATATCCATACCTATCTTTTATAACTAACTCATTGGTACCTGATACATTGCTGTTACAATATATTTATTATAAGATTATAGTATATATTTGATTTAATCTCTCTGTGTGTAACATATCCATAATTTAAACATTATTACCACAAAATAAAGAATACAAGTATTGATACATATGATGACTTCTTACCTTTACACATAAAAAGCAAAATACATGACCACAGGGAAGTTTTGTAGGATGATTATATTTTTCTAAACAAACACCACAAGCTTGCTCTGCAAAATAACAATCCAACACTAATAATGATAGTGAATTGTATCAATAAAAGTTAGTGATGCAAAGAATATGAATGTGAATATTCGTATTCGCCGAATAGTAGACTTTAACCAAATATTCGTATAAAGCAAATACTAATCATGAATAATTAGTATTCACTTTATACGAATATAAAAACGAATATTTTTGTATGCAACAATCAGTTCTTAATGCTGCTGTTAATGACAGAGAGGCCACAAAGTCAAACAAGACCTCCAGAAGAACCTCAACCGTAACAAGTAAAGGAATTTAGCAAGCATGCCAAGAAATAATTGAAGAGGTTGAAATGGAAGAGTCAATTTTAATACTTTCTGATGAGTATTAAAAAAAGATAAGAAAGTTATTAACTTTTAATAGGTACTGATTGTCATCTAAATAGTAAAAGTAAAATTTAATTTCAAAATGTTTTTACAGGGGGTTCACAATCTAAAACAAGATAGATGTTTATCTAAAGCTCCCAAATTTATCGCTGACTACAGATCCATTGGCCTTTTGGGCGAGAAGATGTTTATTTTTCAAGGCTAAAAAAACTCGCCCAAAATCATATTTCACTGAATCCAAATACAGTCGCCTCGAAAAGGCTTTTTTCAATGACTGGGAACATCCAGACTGAAAAGTAATCGCTTAAAACCAGAAAATCTACAATTTTTAAAAAAAAAACAACCACAAAAACAATTTCCTTATAGAACAATAGACTCATCAAATAAATTAGTTCATTACCATGGCGAGATATTCGAATTCGTATTCGTAAAACTAGTATTCGGTGCATCACTAAAATAATTTTAATAAAAATATGTAAGGCTGAAAAAAATTTTTGCCATTAAATCGGAGGTTGTGACGGTCCACACAAAATGCATTTTTTAATCATAATATTATAACGTTACTACCCAAGTGTATCTGAAATATAAGTTAATTATGAAAAAAAATGCAGTTTCATTTTGAAAACATCATAAAACTATGCAGATCACTATAATTTACTTTACCTTGAAGATCATTTTGAACGTCAACCATCATTAAATCTAATATTCCTTATTGTTCACAAACTATTACAACAAGAAATGTAGGTACTATTTTAACATCCACTAGTTAGTCTGTGATTTTAACCTCAGTGATTACATTATAATTATTATTTTTTATTATGTATTCAATTTTTTTTTTAATTTATAAATTATAAATTCAAAAAGTAGGTACACAAGATGTGTATTCGTTTCGTAAATAAATTGTATTTTTTTTATTAACTGGCTTTACGGCTCTGAGTTCTAGCCATTCTGAGCCTATCATTTCTTTCGGAATCTTCATTTTATATTATTTTTCTTCACAATATGCTGATGCGTCAGATTGAGGAAACTACTGTGCGAAGATAACACAAAGTTATGTGGATATAACCGGATATGGTAATCGTCTTAGAACTTCCTCACCACCTCAAGACACTAACCAACAAGCAGACTATGGCTACACGTCAAGGAACGAAGAATACGACAGGAATCAACAGCCATCGTCTGTTGAATCTCAGCAATTCTATGACGATTTTAATGATTTAATGTGATTTTACTTTTTTAAGTTTTCTTTTAATTTTGATTGTAAGTAAAACTTACCTTGATATATTCTTTTAATTCCTCGATAATGGCGGAGCATACTACTGGAATAATACCACGGATGGCTTGTTTCGATACTCTGAAGATATGTTGTAAACTTGTATAAGAGTCATCACTAGCTAAAAAGATTTCTTATTGCCAGTCAGTCACTGACCTCTATATATACAAGTACGCTGGACTGGCTATACACCGTGACATGATGAAGCAATTTGATTTCCGCAATTTTGGCGCTGACAGCAGAAGTGCACGTCCACGGAACTAATAATAGGGATGAGACAGTGTACCAAATTATATCGATAAAATTCTATTCCCTACCTATACCAACTAGAATGGACTCTATGTATAGATGGACTCTACCCGTAACGTGCATTCTATTTATGTATCATATTAATGTAATACCATTATCACTCATTATCATTAAAGCCCTTCACAAGTCCACTGCTGAACATAGGCCCCCAAGAAATGCCACAAAGCACGGTCCTGAGCAACCTGCATCCATCAACTTCCTGTATGCCTTACCAGGTTTTGACTCCATCTAGTGGGGGAACGTCCTACACTTCACCTGCCAGTACGAGGCTGCCACTCGAGAATCTTTTTTCCCCATCGGTATTCGTTTCTTCGAGCTATATGGCCGGTCAATAGCCACTTCAGCTTACTAATCCATTGGGCGAAGGTCGGTCACTCTGGTTCTGCTGCAGATATCCTCATTCCTAAATTTAAACCCCTGAGCATAGACCTTTTCATAGCTCGCTGAGCGACTTCGAGTTGTATCCGTCGATTGACTTGTCGGTCGAAGTTGAACTTGCCTAGTCGGACTATTTGTCCCAAGTAAAAATACTCGTCAACAACTTTAGCTAAAAGCTCCCAAAAACCACCGGCATAGGTGTGACATGGACATTACACATGACTTTTGTTTTGTCCATGTTCGTCTTAAGACCTATCCGTTGGGACTATACACTAACACTATTGAGGTCATTGAACATAGTGCGTAGGTCCTCCAGCGATTCTGCCATAAGGACTATATTGTCGGCAAATCGAAGGTGAGTGACGTACACGCCATTGACGTTCATACCGTATCATTTCCAGTCCAGTAGCTTGAAAACCTCTTCCAATGCAGCGGTAAAGTATTTCGGGGATGTTACGTTACCCTGTCTTACATATCTCTCCAGTTGGATTAGTTTTGTGCTCTGGTTCTGTACTCGGATAGCCATCGTAGCCCTTAGACTATTCAACTAAAAATTATTAAGATTAAACTAACTACACGAAATAAAAATAAAAACATAATTTTTATAATAATTTATTGTCAACCTTCATTTGTTCTAGTATTATAAAAAACAAATCAGCTGCTATAATAACGCCTATTTTAATCAATTACAGGTCTGTCTATAGACATTAAAATATTTTATACTATATAAAAGTTTATGTTTTTTCGTACTTTCTACGATGCTATACCGTTCATCAGATTGCGGTAAAACTTGGTCAACTTATTGTTTGCACTTGTGCGAAGGTTATATGCATGGTACAATTAACTGACATTAGGTGGCGTGCGTATTATACTGACTATTTATTTGAAAGTTATAGAAAGTTATATATCATTCTATATAAATTATTGTATTATCATTCCTAATTATACAATATAACTGTTCCACATTTTAACGATATTTCCACAATTACTTCTTCTGCGGCAGCAATGCGCCGGGTACGAGCAAAATAATATAAAAAATATAAACTTTGAATTACATTGTTGTCAGTTATTTACAACGTCATTTTCGAAATAAAAATAACAATATTAAAAAAATAACCCATCCCAAGAATGCTGGCGACGTGTCCTCTCTGAATGGCTATACTTAGCCTTCAAGCGAGGAAACAACAAACTAAACAACTTCTTATTACCAGCAGCGAAGATCAGTCGCATATACAGTTTTTTAGGAAATACACCGCACGTGCACCCTACGGACCAATAGTGTCTACAGCAAATTGCACAAATATGTACTCATCTTCTAGATATTCTGGGCTATTTACTTAGTTCAGTTGCCTCTAATGCCACCTCTGCTTTAGACGAGGTACCCCTGAGATGGGATGCTTTCAAAGTGTTCGCAAGTAGTATCCCACACTAAAGCTTTATCTCTCTCTCTCTCTCTCTCTCTCTATCTCTCTCTCTCTCTCTTTCTCTCAAGCAACCAAACCTATACCATCGGGTCTCCCGGTATTGTCTCTAAATATTCTACATACAAAGATCTTAAACCAAGGAAACATTTATAGAGATACGAGCTCTTCGGATGACATTGTCCAAGAACTAAGGACAACATTATATTAAAGAATACCATAACATTATTTAAAATTATTTAACTGTGTATTAAGGATGGATTCGACCAAATACTATGTTAAACCAGAGTAACCCTCGAATAATTTACTCTTTGATCTTACACCAAGATAACTTCATTTTGCATTTTGTAACACAAACATAGAGAAGCCAATACTGGCTATTGTTACTCCAGAGTTGGTAGTGGTGGTAGAGTTTATTTATTCAAACGAGTAAACCAACTTAAACCAAAATACAACTGTATAAAGCGCAATCCAAGATATGAGGTCCACATAATTTGCCGTAAGTGTAAATAATGCCGCCCAATGGCAGCCCCTCCTTAGTTGCTGACTTCTCCCCCCGTTTTCATTCTCAGATAAGGCGCACCAGAAACAAGCCACGCTGCCCTTCGCGTCCTCTAACTCCACCTGAACTATGGACTCCCCGAGCCCGATATGTGAATGGAGCCAGGGAAAACTATCACTTGGAACCATCAAGTGGTGCAGCCTAACCAAAGTCTCGAAAGATAGTCGAGTGGCGCATTGCCAATCGCCATACTAACACTCCTCTTCCCTTACGACTCCACCTCGACTACAGCGATACAGGGAGAGGAATCTCCACTAGCCGCAGCCCACTAAAACACATACAACGTGGCTCGACATCATCAGGCGACCTTTCGAGACTTGGCTATGGCCCTTGAGTTTGGTGAAAAATGAGGAAAGAAGAAATAAAAAAAACATTCGAAATAATAATCTAATACTTTTATACTTACTGGTACTGGTACTACCAGAAAATATTGTCGGTATACTGCACTTTTTCAAAGTGGTGCAGTTCTCACGTCTAATAAAACAGTCGTCTGTGAAATGTTCAGAACAAATATGATCATTTTGTTTCGGACGCCAATTCACAATATTTATGCTTTTAAGCCATAATTTTAGTCTAGGTTCACTTGGAAACCTGTTAATTAATAAACATTTGATAATCGTCTGTTGTTGGCGACTTTGTTTGTTAACAGATATGGGTAGGAAAGAACATCGATAAGTATTATAGACAAGGACTCGACAACCCTATTGAATTTTATTGTTTATCAAAACGCAGTAATATACAGCCAAAAATGTTGGTATATATGATATTAAGATTAGTAACAAATTTGTAAGTACTTATATTATCAAATAGTTTTAATTTGTTTCATATTCGCTGCAAATTCACTTACTTGTGAAATGTATACTACTTCCCTTTTAGTAACGAGTTTTACAGATTACTCACACTCTCATTATTAATAAAAATAATTCTTATTGTGTAACTAATATTATACACATTCAAACAACATAAAATACTTTCGTTTTTTAGTTTAAAAGTTCAAAATACAGATTTATTAAATAAGACAATTTAAATATGACAACAGACTTTGGCATATTATGTCAATTTTTATTTTTCAAGACAGCCTTTAGCGGCGCTTCAAATTGGCACAGTCATTTTCTATGGTATAGCCAGTCCAGCGTACTTGTATATATAGAGGTCAGTGCAGTCAGTCTTAAATTGAAATTGGGGTCCTTAAATGTGTGTGATTCCGATAAATTCTTGGTCAGATTAATCTGAGTAGATTTTCGAATGTCGTTGGAGTCATCCTTGTGAAATTTAGAAATTGTCCGGTTAATCTCATGTCGGCCATTAATTGTGCACCAGCTCTCTGATTAAAACTCTGTGTACGCCACCAACGTCGAGGTCTTCGGCATCTTTTTATCACATGAGTGATGAAAATCAATGAAGCACCGATAATCAACGTACCCAGTAACTGGTCATCACTATCCATTCTCTTTGCGTGTTCTCGACAGATGTTCGCCGCGCGCATGCCAGAAATAGATGTGAATACGTACATGCTCGGTTCATGCGCGCCCTGTGTCCACACTTACGAAATGCTCCTTTCATGTTACATTGCATGCTACTTTTCGCAAATCTGTACCAACCGCACCTGTTTGCCAGGCATCTGTAGAAACTCATATTTGCGCCACTTAATATTAAGTTCAGTTGCCTCTGATGCCGCTCCGGCTCCAAACGAGGTACCTCTGAGAGAGTCCGTCACAGTGTCTACGGAAGTACCATCCCACACTAGG